AACAAAAATAGCAGGCAGGACATTCCAGAGAATGTTGTACTGTCATATATCTTTTGGGTTTTTTTCTGTTGACAGTCCTGTGTTATGACAAGTTTGTACAGATGATTAAAATGTTTAAAAGATGTTGTATTCATTTCTTGACAGTTCATTTTGACATGAAACTAGGTGTTTCTACCAGACTTGCATCGGCTGAAAACAAAAAAACAAGCCTACAGTTTAACAAATCTTTTATAGTTCAGTAAAGCTTTCTGTGTGTGAAACCAGCTGAAAGCGTGAGTGCAGCTGAAAACAAGTCACAGATATTTCCACTGATAACCGAGCACGAGTGTTAAACCACACATAGAGACCCTTGCACTATAAGAGTAACTGCTACCGTTACACACAGGGACGCAGAGGCTGAGGATGATGAACTTGTTTTTTCATCACATGAGAGAAGCTGACATTTGTTTACCACAAGTCTTTTGTTCTCAGTCCAGTTCATCAGATGCAGACCACAGCCCGGGCTGCTCAGCAGGGGTTTCAGCCCCAATGTAGGCAATTTGAGAAAGAACAGAAAGCCACACTTGAAGTACAATAAAAATCATGTTTGCTAATACAGTCACTTAACTTCTTTTAAGCACTAATATGCAGCCACCTGCATATTAGACCATTTAAAGTATTACATTCACACATTTCTTCTCAAATAATTTCAACAGCAGATCATGGTGATTTGTCAAGTCTTTCTTTAGAGAACCAGAAGCAGAGAACTGCAGAGAGAAAAACCTCAAGCCCCATCACACAAAGTTCCAGCACCTCCATCTGTTAGAAACATAAAGATCATCGAGTGTTAGTTTTATATTACAAGTATATGTAAATTTTTTTGTTATATTCTTTACAAGTTCTCACCCTCAAATGCTGATCATTTTCTTGTGTCCAGTGAGCCAAGTCAACACTTATCAGACAAGCTGCCACTACAGCTACAATAATACAGCCACAGTTAACCATGAGGGACACCTGGAAAATAATAACTTTCATTAATTACCTAATGGATTCAGAATAGACCCTTTCTCTGTAATGTGTTGTTTGTTGGGCTTGTATTGAGTTGTACTTACAGGTAGTAATGCTGGATATTTGAACAACAGGTTGGAAACAACTCCAGCAACAATGAACTGCAGAGTAGAAGAGTGCAGCTTAGAGCTGACTAAAAACGTCTGCACGTTTTCACACTATTGACTTAACGAGTCTCTATATTAAAGACAAGGTGAATATATTAGCACTCGATTTATCTGCTTTATTTAGTGCATGATGATTTTTTAAATAAAACTTAAGCAATTTGAGTAGAGACTTACGAGTGCTCCGGTCAATTGAGAAACTCTGAAGAGACTGAAAAGGGACTCCCCCATTTCCTGGGTCACAGCAAAAACAATTCCAACTCCAACACTGAGGAAACCACTGACCACCTGCAGAGACTGACAGAGGAACAGAGACAAATAAACGACACACTCCCATGCCAATAAAAATAATTCTTTTGGTATACATTTTTGAAAAACTAAGGTGCGGCAGTAGCTCAGTCCGTAAGGCAACCAGAGCGTCGGCGGTTTGAGCTATGAAAAAAGATATGGAGTGTGGACTGATAGCTGGAGAGGTGCTCCTGGGCACTGCAGAAGGTGGCCTTGAGCAAGCCCCTGAACCCCCAACTGCTCGGGGACATCGACATACAAAAGATCTCAGATAATGGTGAAATCTTAGGTTATGCATTGACTGATGCTGTTCAAGTGTTTAAACACGATAGTTCAACATGTCTGATAATTCATTAATTATTGTTATTGTTATGTGACTGCAATTTGTGAATTCATGACAATGTATATATCTTTACTGGAAATAGTTTACCAAATACAAAGAACTATAAAATTAATAACAAAAATAAATACAATATCCATTAAAATGTTAGTATTACAGTCTACCTGTCTGTTATACTAATATAACAGACTGTTAAACTGTTACACACACACAAATATCCTTCACACCCCCACCCCCTACCCAAACAACCATTTCCTGTTGCTGCGGCCCAAATCTGCACAATGGGCACAAGTACTTTTGGACATCCCTCTTCACTGCACCTCTTTTCTGTATGTAATATCTTTACGGTCTAAATATTATTAGACATTATGTCACATAGTCACAGGGAGGAATGCTTAAAAGATTGTGATCACTTTTGACTGGACTTTTCAAATTAAATTTTCATGCATGGTGCAAAGAGGCAGTCTATGAGAAAAAAACCCCACCATCTTATTTCCTTTTTTCTATGACTTTGTGGTATTGTTGCAAGCAATACGCTAACACTCACATGTACTGAATAATACTGTAAAGACCTGATTACAATTACATTAACTGAAGCAGTTAATGCAGGCTGACAGTAGCACAAGTAGACAGTGTTATACAGTAATTGGGGTTACAAAACCTAATTTTAATGCTGTGGAAAAAATAACATGATTTTCTTACAATAAGATGGAGTTAAAGTACAATTAGAGTACAACACCAACACCTAAATTACCATAAAGTTGAATCAATGCCTCTGTTACAAGTCTCAGTAATAGTTTAGGTGCTACAGAGCACTGCATGGCCAAAAAAGAAAAAAGGAACAGTTTCTACCCACAGGCCATCACTCTGATGCACAGTTAAGTCCAGACACACAGTGTGATGAACAATCCTTCTACAATAACCTTGTGACTCGGACTCTAACATTTACCTGTAAACTGTTTTCTGTTTACCATTTATTAGTGTTTATTGTTCAATTTTGTAATTCAGTAGCTGTTCACATTGTATGTATTGTATATACTGTATATGTCATATCCCCCTTACCTCATGTTCATGACACCTGCACAAAAGCATTTATTCCAGCCTCCTTTGCACTCTGCTCCGTTACACTATTGTCCTGCTGTCCACAAATGTTATTGTCTTTGTTGATGGTGTGTATGTTCATTGTAGTCTGTGTCGGTTTTTAATATTAACATTTATTCATTTAGGCTTTTTATCCAAACTTACAATTGTTATATATGTCAGAGGTTGCACGCCTCTGGAGCAACTGGGGGTTAAGTGTCTTGCACAGGGACACATTGGTGTCTCACAGTGGACTCTCGCACCAAAGCCATGTGTCTTATCCACTTCCCCATCACCACACCCTTATTACTGAGCTGTTTTGTTTAAGCTTGTTCTGTGTATGTACATCAAGAGTAATGGAAGACAGGAGTCTAATTCCGCATATGTGTGCACATACCTGGCCATTATAACTGATTCTGATTGTGATATGACCTTCTCAGAGGCTTTGTTCATTGGCTGTGGCATTAGATTGCATGATACCATACTTAGAAAGAAAGTGTAGGTTTTCTTGTAGCCTGTTTCTTGAGTGTTTTTGTCATTCTTACCCCCAACACAGCAGGTTGTTTCTGCAGCAGGTCATGCAGCGGCCTTTTGTTGTCTGGCAGGAGCTCTAAAGCTTGGTAATGTCGCATCATTGGCGGCTCTCTCCGGTTGGCTCTGAGTAGCTCCTCATCAGTTCCATGGATATCCATGTCAACGTCGGCGCAGGCCATGGTGCTTCTCTAATCATGGTACATATTATGATTTAAAAATCATTATGTGTTCTTACATTTGTACTGTGAATCTTTTCTGATTTAGGCTTAACATGGGACAACAGTGAGTTACCAAAAAAATAGAAATCCTTGTACATTGTAATGCAATGCCATACAACAGTTCTGTAATAAATTGTCAAAATAATTTTGAATTGCTGACATTGTGAGGTTCTACTTCATTTTTGAGACTGCTGTAGTCTTGTTGTGTCTCGATGTCATTAAGGTCCACAAGATATTAGAGATAAATAGAGATGTGTTAATAATGCAATATAATACATTATCACCACAAATAACAACTTTTAAAATGACCATGGAACTATTACATACACAAACAATTAAGGAAATCTAAGCGCAATGAATAAGGTCATATTTATTGCAGTTCTTTTGCAAAGCATTTCAATACGTAGTATACGTACATTGTGCAGGTGTTTCTGGTTTACTTATATATGTGGCTGATACCAAATGTGATTTAGTTTTATTTTAGTTGTTCCTTAGCCCCATTTGTTTTTGAATTTATAACAAACTGAAAACAGTGTTGAAATGAAGGACTTTACATATGTGATGGTGTTTGCAGATTCATACATTTATTGTTCAGTGCAAGATCAGTATTTTACTAGAAGTATCATTGGCTTTTTCATGATAAATAAATATACAGTTGGGTTTTGCATAAATCAATTCAGTCTTCGTCAAACAAACTAAGTTAAAAAAACAAACTAAGTTAAAAAAAACAAACAAATTAAATTTTAAAAAAGTCATTCTGTGCAGGTTTCTGAATCCTTCAATGGCCTGCAAGAGACATTACCACAAAAACTTCCAAGCAAAATTAAGCATTGAATCTAAGGTGATGGAAAATACAGCAGCTCCCAACAATTCTCATTCACATTATAATTTCTTATAGTTTCTTAGGTGACACTTTTAATATACTTAAAAAACTTCTGATCGATTAGAGTACATACACATCCATAAGCTGACTTTGAGCTGCTTGCAAATTCACACTCCCTAATGCAAATGTGTAAAACAAAGCTTTTTTCATTGTAATTCAATAAAGATCTTAGAATGGGATTCTTACCACGTTTGGCTCAAGGAGTAAATATTCAAACTGTGTATCTGTCTCAACGAGTGCCTCACTCTTCAGGCATGATCTTCACTTCCCCACAAATACTTTGAAAGATGAGGTCACTTCACGCCTTAACTTCCTCATTCTGCCACTGGTCTCTACAGAACCATCATGTTCAACCATAAGTTCCTCATTTCCATAAGTTGCATGTTATTGACTACTGATTTAAAAAAAAACACCAATAAGTAAAAATATTAGGTCCTCACAGTTTTAAATGTTTACCAAATCAGTCTGCATGCAAGCATTTCATGGGTGGGTGTGTGTGTGTGTGTGTGTGTGTGTGTGTATGTGAGAGAGAGAGAGAGAGAGAGAGAGAGAGAGGAAGAAAGAGAGTGGGAGATGAAGACAATTCACTTGCTAGGTTATTTCCTTTTGACAACTCAGAGAATTTCAGAATCAAGATACGAGAAGAAACAAAGGTACACTGCATTGCTGAAAACCTCAATAACAGGTCATATAAACTGCTTTAACGTTCTTTGCTTTGATCTTGTTCACAGGATGATGAAGAAGACATTTGTATGTGATGAATCAATGTTCATCACCATTCCCATTGGCAGTCTAAAGGATGCTCAAGAGGGTCAACTGATGCCGGAGAAGTTTCAGTGTGTGTACAGAGACTCCTACAAGGTCTTTGTTGTTAAAGGAAAACCTAAACCTCTTGGAGTAAGTTGAATTGTTTCTTACACAGGCAGAGTCATGATCAGAGACTATTTTGTAGCTCTATATGCTTAATCTCAATTTACATGCAAAACATGCAGCATTGTAATGCAATATTTTTATCTGTTTTTAATTAGGCAGCCCAAGCCATCGCTGGTGTGTTCATTGTGACTCTAGGTCTGCTTTTTACAGACCTCAATCACAGGTTCCCCGTCTGGACAGACACTCTACCCAGTATTCTGGTAAATACAATTGCAATAAAATGTAAATCACTCCCATAAGTTACCAGATGTTTCTTTGAAATGTTTGAATTATTAATTAATTCAGGAAATACAATTCGAAACCAGTTCTTTAGGTATTTAATATGTTATACACTGTTATTGTACAATAGAGAAAAGTATATATACGCCTTTGTTCTTGTACTTCCTTTTCTTGCTGTGACATTTCAATTGCCCTGTATGGGGACAATAATGTTCATCTTATCTTATCTTATTTTATCTTGTATTCTTGTGATATTCTGCAATTTTCAGTTTTGAATTTCTGTGAATAATAATTTAATTGTTTTATCAATATCTTAGTTTGTGGTCTCTGGCATGCTGTCCTATGCTGCTGGAAAATCTCCAAACATGCATGTGGTAAGATACAAATGAAGTTTTTGTACTAAAGTGAAAAATCCAACATTAATAACTAAACATGGTGACATAGCATTGTATAGTATTTCACATGTTTAAGTGTGACAGTGAAGCTTGCCTTCCATTTAGACTTCTAACTTCAAAGTTTGTTTATAAGTTACTTGTAGCCAATAAGTTATTTGTAGCACCAATAAGTGAATGATTATAACTAACAAACATATATTTAGATAATTTGCCAGTTAAAAATAAATAGCAACATCCATCCATCCATCGTCAACCGCTTATCCTGCGTACAGGGTTGAGGGGGGGCTGGAGCTTACATCGGGCGAAAAGGCGTGGTACACCCTGGACAGGTCGCCAGTCCATCGCAGGGCCAAATAGCAACATGTGATTTGAATTATTTTGTACTGAAATCTAAATAATTATGTCTGATAATTTAAATAAGGCTCATCATAACTTGTCTGATCCTGGTTTGTAAGAAAAGGAATTATTATTATTATTATTGTTGTTGTTGTTGTTGTTGTTGTTGTTGTTGTTATGATTGTGTTGGTTCCTTATTATTTTCAGTAATGTCTGCATAATTACTGCTGATCTGTGTCTTTGAGCAAGACACTGAACCCCAACTTGCGATTGAAAGGCAATGTTGGAAAGAATTGTGTCTAATATTGTAGAAAAGTAGTTTCTAAATGTAGTCCATTTGCCTTTTACTGCCTTTTTCACCTTTCAGACAAAGCTGTCATTCTCTGTGAACATCATCAGCTTCTTCTGGTCAGTAGCAGCAATTACTCTCTGCGCTATTTCTATGTCAAATGACTACAATCACCGCAACCATAAGGTAAAGGAACAGAGCATTTGTCCTTTATTAAGTAATCTCCATGGCTGTCTGAAATACAAAGCAAATGTGTATTCACTCCCACTACGGTCTCAACCTTTTTCATAGGTTTATATGGGAATGAAGGGACTAATTATGACTCTGCTGGTTGTTGAAAAGTTAATAGCGGTATACTTGATCTACTGGTCAAGTAAAGCTATATGCAGACAACATTTCAACTCTTTGGTATGTCACTTTCCTCATACACATAGCAACTAAGCATACTGTGAGAGCAACAAGATTATTTGTAACTAATATTGTTGTTTATTTTGCAGCCCATCATACTGCTGAAACAGGCAGACTGAATATACAGGCTTTATTGAGCTCAACAAACCAACGACCAAACACCTATTTACATAGGGTGTCAATGCCATATAACACACAAAGAATGTTAAATTAACTATTGTTTTCATTACAGAACAACAACAGATTGCATGTGAATGAGCCACTTCTTGGATATAGATTATTTTGATGATTCTTTGAAAAATCTGAATTATTAAGAGAAAAATACAATCAAGTTTACTGATACAGAACTGTGCTTCTGTACATTTCTATAATTTATCTACGCATCTGTTCTTAGACTTCCTTTTGCTGCTGTGCTATTTCAATTCCCCTGCATAGTTTATCTTATCTTATCTTGAAGAATGTTGCATTGTATTGTCTCAACTCCAGGAGGTTTAGTTCATATTTTAAAATTTCGTGTATGTTTTTAACCAGTGGCACATCATTTAAACTGTCCTTTTTACTGTCTGCATGCAGCCTGAGATCATCATCATCAGCTCATTTGTCTTATCCTGATTAAAGTATAAAGTTGAGCCTTTTGCTGTCATGACTCCTGGGCTTTGAGATGACAGAATCTTGAACTCAAGCAGAGAGAGTCAATATAGTCTTTTGCATATGTAGATTTTTTTTCACTGATATTTAATCATTTTTTGTTTTTACTCTGATCTTTGTGAATCACGTTATGACTTTGTTTAAGGCAAATAAAAATGATTATTTTGTTTATGTTTCATTTGTATTCTTGTGGGCCGACAACACCTTCCTCTACTTTAGAAAATGTCAGATAACAGCTAAAATAATTGACTGGTTTAAAGATTAGTGCAAATCAGTTATTTAAAAAATACATTTTGGTGATCCATTTGCTACAAACTACAAATGAAATATTCTATAGACTTGTAGCCTACAATAATCAAGTGGAAGAAATAGTAAGGGTGTACTACCAAAGATAACAAGCCACTTTTTAAATTGTGTGTTACAACAAGAATAAATAATTGCCATGAAAACCTAAAATTGTTGGGCAATTTTGTAAACCCAAACCTGTTCTTCAGCTAATTCTATGAAATGTACCCTCAACTCAGGGTAGAGGTTAGTGGTATTCTAGTAGGTACAAAAATGCTTTTGTCGAACTTTTTGCTCATAATTATTTTTTGTTATTACCTATTGCCTGTACAGTCACAGTGGGTGACTTTTTCAACCCAGATTCTCAATTTACTAAAATCAGGGAGATTGTGGGTGAAATATTTTCAGATCGCTCAGTGCTTGTTTCCTTAACTACCACAAATAACATGAACATAATTGTGGCGCCCATGGGGGGTGACTTTCTTGCTACATTTGGTGAAAAATGATAGCGACTCCTGCTGTAAGCTAGGGAGTTTTTAGTTTCAGTGATATGTGAAGCCATGAGCGGCCACATGGGGGAGATGAACACATCAAAGCAAGTCAAGTACATGTACCTTTCAGTGAAAGATGAATTCTAGGAAACACATTACTTTGACATTCAAGTAACTGCCCTGTTGTACTAGTTCACAAAACCTGTGGGCTGACCCTGTTTTTTGTTTACATAATTATAAAGGAGGTCACAGTGTAACATAGTTCATTCATTTCAGTTCATTAATTAGGTAGATTTAGAAGTCAGCCTCAGTTCAGATGTCAAGCTTTAAAGTCCTTGGATGAAGGTCACGCTAAAAACAGTCCAAGCAGCACATGTTGAAGGAGGGCACGTGAACTCTTCCGCTTCGGGACACTCCCTACAGACATGCACACCAATCACAATCAAAAGTTAACACTTTCTCTATAACTGTCTTCCCTCTTTTAACCTTCTCTCGATCTTTCTGCTCATCTGTCAGTTCAAATCTGTAAGCTGCTAGCTAGCCATGAAATCATTTTATCTTTATTTTAACCATTTCCTGTAACAGTCTGTGTTGGCTGCTGCTGCTCCTTGGCCGTGGCGGATCACTTTCTTCCTGACTGCTGCGTTCATCTATGGCGTCCGTGTACAGCGGATCTCATACCTTGAGCAAGGATGATGTGAATTACAGAATGCATTTCCGAATGATAAACGAGCAGCAGGTGGAAGATATCACCATAGAGTTTTTCTACAGGCCGCACACGATCACGTTGCTGACATGCACGGTGCTCAGTTTGATGTATTTCGCGTTCGCAAGGTAAGTCGTTCGCAGCTAACGTTAGCTTAGTTAGCTAGCGGTCGGCTAACAGGCGCAGTGATGCTGTGAGAGTGCCAGGTACACAGAGGATAGCTAGCTCTTAGCTACTCTTTAATGCTTTTTTTCACTAAGAGAAGCTTTACATGCACATAAAAACACTGTAATTACTTTCTCAGTGAGGACTGTCTAACGTTACATTTTGCTGTCATTAATTAATCTTTCACCTAGGCTAATAACAAGAAGTGTTGGGTTATATAACGGTAACGTTAGTCCAGTGATGAACAGTGCCCCGTGCTGACAATGGCTACAACAATGTAACTGGCAAGGAGACTAGTCATAACGCTACATTTAAAGTGTTTATCTGTTTTACAAACCACAATTGTATAACGTAGACTCTAGTTTCTGTTTGCCATTTGAGGCACATACACATCACTACAGTTGTGGAGGCGAAGTGAAGCATAGACTGCTCATAAAATGGGCAGATTAACATATACCACTGTATCCCTGGTGTAATGTCTGCTTAACCGTGCCTGCAGAGATGATGGAAATCCTGACAACAATCTCTGGGTGGGGCTCATCCTGGTCATCTCCTTCTTCCTTGTCATCAGTGTTTTGGCATTTCCAAACGGTGAGCGAAAAAGGACACTGTTATTATTTTGTAGCCCTTAATTAAAGTTAGCCTGAAGCTACTTCACAAACAGACATATTAGCACAGTCATTAATAATGACAGCTTTAAGTTACATGTTGAACCTTGATAAGGACCTAAGTATGAGATGAATAAATATAATATAAACACATGTACACAATTTGAAACAGTCTGATGAACAACCTCATTCAGTATGGTATTACCAGTGTAATTTCTGGTCACTATTGTTAGTCTGTTCTCAGAACAGGGATTTTAGCTCCTCAAAGCCACAAATCACATCTACCAGTGGCCACTAGGAAGGAAATGTGCCCAGGGCTATAAGTTGTATATGTGAAACAATAATATAAAGTAAAAAAGACTTGTTTTAATGAGAAACCAATGTCCACTCCATCATTTGTAGATTATATCTTTTGACAGTATCTGTATGTGATTTACTGTAGGTCCATTCACCAGACCACATCCAGCAATATGGCGAATAGTTTTTGGTGAGTATTGCTAAAAGAAAACGGTTTCTTTGCTGTTTGGACCTTTTTAGATTTCCCTTCTTAATGCCATGTCTCTCTGCTGTTAAGGTCTGAGTGTCCTCTACTTCCTGTTCCTGGTTTTCATAATTTTCCTCAACTGGCAGCAGGTGAAGCAGCTAATGTATTGGTTAGACCCAAACCTGCGTTATGCCAAGAGAGAGGCAGACATAATGGTGCGTGATGTAGGCTTACTCAGAAACTCATATACAGCTTGATTTGTTACACACCAGATATGTACAGTACATGGGGATTAACAATCATTTTAATGAGGCTATCTTTGCTGCTCTCTGCAGGAATATGCTGTAAACTGCCATGTCATCACCTGGGAGAGAATCCTGAGCCATTTTGACATTTTTGCATTCAGCCATTTCTGGGGCTGGGGTATGAAGGCACTGCTAATACGCAGCTATGGCCTCTGCTGGACTATCAGTATTACTTGGGAGCTTACTGAGGTAAGGAAGCACACACCTTATAAGTTTGTCACACACTTACCATCCTGTGGCCTATTACATTCTCTCTATCTGCCTCTCCATCTTTTTCTCTTTATAATGGAGAAATTCTGAAGTCAATTTAAGGTTGTGATCTGGTGGAAATTGATGGGCTTTGGCCATTCTCAATAATTTGATATAACGTAATATTAAGCTGAGAAGTTCACAGTTTTTCAGACTCTCATAGCCTCCCAATCTCCTGTTCCCATAGCTGTTCTTCATGCATCTGCTGCCTAACTTTGCTGAGTGCTGGTGGGACCAAGTGATTCTCGACATTCTGCTGTGTAATGGTGGAGGCATCTGGCTTGGCATGACTGTCTGCCGCTTTTTGGAGATGAGGACCTACCATTGGGCCAGTATTAAGTATGAACTTTGCATTCTGGAAATTAACTATAACTGTGTTAAAATTGTTTCCAGTTTTGTATTAATCCTAAGTCTGTGTAAACAGTACCAGGTTATTTACAGGTTGTGAAAAGGAAAGTGGGGTTTATAACCCTGATGCATACATTTCATGGGATCAGCCCTAATTCGGTAATAATACATATAATAACATAGCGGCAGTAATACATAATCAACCTTTGTAAGTTACTTTAATTTAAACTGGAACATAAAAATTAGCCCTAAAAGATAATATCACAAGCCAAAGAATTTGTGTAACTGTTCTTCAATCTTTAGCCATTATGCTTTATTATGTTAATTAAAGATTTTTTTATTGTGAGTTCGATATAAGGTAGCTTTACTGTATTTGTCTTCTCAAGTGGTTTTTAATATTTCATTAATAACTATTATCTATGTTATAAATGTGTAATTGTGTGTACTATTTAAGAAAATTATAGTCAAAGTCAGAATAATTAAGGCATGTAAATTCAGATAAATAACCTCTATCTAATACGTTAAATTAGCTCCTACTCTTTTGTAGCATCACTGTAAAGTCAATTCCACTCAAGCAAGCCATTTTATATACCATGTTAGGATGTATAAATTGTTGTTTTAAAATATTATCTCACAAGTTCATCAGGGGACATGAATAATTAATGTGATGGCATTACTTTCATCTGACTTTGTCTGGTGCACTAACATAATACTTACTGTAAATCTATCTGCAAGTCTTTGTAATCCTCATCCTGCACTTCCCATCCAGGGACATCCACACCACCACAGGCAAGATCAAACGAGCCGTGTTACAGTTCACCCCCGCAAGTTGGACCTACGTACGCTGGCTTGACCCAAAGTCTTCCCTGCAGCGAGTAACGGGCGTCTATCTGTTCATGATCATCTGGCAGGTGGGTCAGTGAGAAATCCTCTTTCACCATCTCATGGTGACTAAGTGCTGACTAGTCGGGGATCATCCGGTGTGCTCTGCGTGCTAAGTCAAGGCTAATCTAATTGCCTTTTCCATTGTTGAAATCTAAAACCTGTCTCACTTCAGTCCATATAATGCACGAGTGTCCTGCTGTCTACACATTAACAGCTTATCCCACAAGAGTGAAAGACAGGCTGGATTACTTGGGAGCAATTTATTATAATGAGAAAACCATGGATGGAGAACTTAACTTAGCTCCGTTGCTCTCTTCATAAGAGTCACCTATGGCTGCCAAATTTCTAGTCACTTGCTGCTATGGCGATGAAAGCTGCTGTTTCTCTCATTTTTGTGTGGTGATGAAACAACTTTGTCCTCCCCTCTCCCTCACTCAGGCAGTTCCCAAATCTCTTGAGGCTTTAAATAGTAATTACCAGTCTTTGAGAAGTAGTTGAAGAGATGGTCGACGGCTCAGCTCTACTCAGCGTGGTGACAGTTTAGCTGCTCTTCACTGGGCTCAGCCACACAGGCCCTGGGCTAAATGAGTGAATAACATGGCAGCAGGCCTCCGTCTCATTATCTTTCAGTCCGGATGAGAG